TTACAGAATAAAGAGCAGCTCAGACTGAGTTATTACAGAATAAAGAGTTATTTACAGAATATAGAGCAGCTCAGATTGAGTTATTACAGAATAAAGAGCAGCTTAGACTGAGTTATTACAGAATAAAGAGCAGCTCAGACTCTGAGTTATTTACAGAATAAAGAGTTATTACAGAATAAAGAGTTATTTACAGAGTAAAGAGCAGCTCAGACTGAGTTATTACAGAATAAAGAGCTGAGTTATTTACAGAATAAAGAGTTATTTACAGAATAAAGACTCTGTTCCTGCCTCTGCTCTGCTTCCTCTCAGGGGCCGGACCCCGGTAGGCCTGGTGGTTCTGGGCTCTTACCTGGGCTCCATGCCCCCGCTGCCCGCCCTGCTCCTCACACACCTGCCCTCTGGACCCGAGGTCTACAGGTACCCCCCCGACGCCCCCCTGGAGGCCCCGGCCGTGCTGCTCTGGCTGCAGCGGGTGGAGCAGGGCGCCGAGAGCCCCGCAGGTAAAAGGACCCCCTCACAGCTCTGTTTTGGGACTTCTGAGCCCCAAAACACGCTTCGGGCTCTTTGTTTTTAGCATGAAAAACACCAGAAATAAGCCGTTTTCCTCCCACTCAGCGTGGAATGGAATAAAGAGCAGCTCAGACTCTGAGTTATTACAGAATAAAGAGTTATTTACAGAAGAAAGAGCAGCTCAGACTGAGTTATTACAGAATACAGAGTTATTTACAGAATAAAGAGTTATTTACAGAATAAAGAGCAGCTCAGACTGATTTATTACAGAATAAAGAGCAGCTCAGACTGAGTTATTACAGAATAAAGAGCAGCTCAGACTGAGTTATTACAGAATAAAGAAAGAGAGGAAACACGCTTTGGGCTCTTTGTTTTTTGCATGAAAAACACCAGAAAGCAGCCATTTTCCTCCCAACCAGCGTAGGAGGAGTCAGGAGTTTACAGCTCCTCAGTTTATGTTTATGTTTATATTTATGCATTTGGCAGACGCTTTTATCCAAAGCGACTTACAGAGTAGACACAATATTACATTTCTCACACAATATTACATTTCTCACACAATATTACATGTCTCAGTGTTCCTGTGGGATCAGATTAGAGCCCTGCTGGTCTAAAGGACCCGTAAACAGGTGGATATGAGCCCGGTTTTTAGGCGGTTTCTGAAACAGGAAGCTGCTCTTCTCTCTGCAGGAAAGCTGAACGAGGACAACTGGCCACCGACCGGCCAGTTCCTGGACTTCCTGAAGATCATGGATGGCCAGCAGGAGGAAGAGGAGGAGGAACAGGAGGAACAGGAGGAACAGGAGGAAGAGGAGGAGGAGGACCTGACAGAGGAGCATCTTCACCTCCACTCTGAGCTCTAACTGCTCTGAACTGCTTCCTGCTCCTCAGTGTTTCAGGTCCCTTTGCTGACGACCAGGGAGCCAATCAGAGGCCCCGATGCTGATGTGTGATCACACACAGACATGTTCAGGTGCAAAAAGCGTGTGCTGGTTTTCAGCCCGGACAGGGAGCAGTAGGTAGAAGCTCCCACCAGGGGGCAGTGGGGAGTCACCACACAGGCTGAGAACCGTTTAACTCATTGGCTGCCAAAGACGTCTATAGACTTCTTTTATGTTTTCAACGAGAGTGTCTGGGGGACGATCTGCTAAAGC